ACAACCACAACAACATCAACAACCACAACAACATCAACAACTACAACCACAACAACAAAAACGACTACTACTACTACTTCTGAGCCTTGTCGTTGTAGTACTGATTGTATTCTTACTAGTGCTACTCATACTCATTGTGTTGGTTGTGGTGATTTTGGTTATAGTATTCATTATGGTGTTACTTATGGTTGTACTACTAGTGTTTTTCATAGTACTACAACTTGTTATCATAATGGTACTATTAATTATGCTACTTATTGTGGTCTTGGTCTTTGTACTACTGGTAGTACTATTAATAGTTTTGCTCTTTGTGTCTAACTGAAATGAAGCATTTGTCAGCTGAATTTGAACCGTAGAAGATGTTGTGTGTGTACATACATATTTGGCGTTTTGCATGCTTTTCGAACCCTTAAGTCTTACAGTAGATTGCATAGCACGGGTAATCCGTATCCATGTTGTACTGTGACTTGGTGAAAGACTTTAATTATATTTAATAAAGTTCACAATACAAACAACGCAGTTTTTTTGCACTCAAATTGATGTTTAGAGCAGGTGGTCCTAATTCTGCCACAAAAATGTAACTTCTTTTTATTTGATCGATAATTCAATCTATGAAAGCCATGCAGAGCTGATTTCCAGTTTCTGGCGTAGAGTAAACATCCATGCGTCGATCCATATCTATTCGGTCAAAAAATAATAAGTCATTCCCCAATGAGCACCGTGACAATACTAGCAGGTTCAAATTTCCTCGATTTCTGTTGTATTTCTAATTCTGCCACACTGTATTTTTTATTCCTAATTCTCCCATTCTCACGTAAAACGGCGATGTTTCGTAGAGAAACCACGATTTGATGGGCAAGATGATCTTTGATCAAGATAAAAAAAAATATATCATTCGATTCGTCTTGTCACGGTGCATCGATTGATGTTATTGTCAAAACAAATTGAGTTCGTCTTCCTATATTTTTTTCCTAGTCACCAAAACAAAAAACGGTCGACAGAATTTTTTCCTATTCCTTATTCTACCGCGTCGTGTGTGTTTTGTTCCTAATTCTGCCATCACCATACAAACTGCATAGACCTCTGAGAAATAAAGTTGCTGTTGCTATCCAGTCAGGGTTGCCAGATCTTCCGAATGCCTCGGAAAAATGCCGAATTTTAACATTTTTTCTGAATGCTTTCCGAGTTTCCGAATTCTTCCCAATTTTGGTATTTTTTCCGAATTATGATATTGCCAAAATTTCAATTTTTTTCACGGTTCTTTATGACTTTCAGTAAAACTGCGACTAGCCACTGTCACGCCATCTTTGTTCTTCTCCAGTCATTGGCTTATTTAGTATTGTAAAACAAATAGCAGTGTACAATGATGCTAGTTTAATCTAAAATTCTTTCTACACTAAACTGAATCTCTTATATTCACGTAAAACTCATTTGACTCAACAATATTCACACATGAACTGACTTTGAGAATAAAAGGAATATGCAGTTTTATTTACTATTTCATAGATTTTCAATAGAATACAGCAAAATTTATGGAAGGTGAATCCGAAGATTCAAATATGGATGTGTGTGAGATCGAAGAAGAACAAGAAAATTTACCACCAACAACTTCTACACAAACAAAAACATCAATTCATTGTAAATCTAAGAAAAAAAAGGTGTTTTTAAAAAAGATAGGTTAAGTGCTGATGCATTTTCATCATGGTTACAAGAAGTAAAAAACGACTGTACACAAGCTCGATGTAAAGCTTGTTTAAAAGCATTTGGTGTACATCATGACGGTAAAACAGCAATAAAAAACATATGAATACTGCTTCTCATCAAACATGTATGAAATTATTTGAAACAAACTCACTGATTCCCTTATATGTACCTTGAGGGTGTGGGTGTGGGTGTAGGTGTGGGTGGGTGTCGGTGTGGGTGTGGGTGTAGGTGTGGGTCGGTGTGGGTGTGGGTGTGAGGGTGTGGGTGTGGGTGTGGGTGTGGGTGTGGGTGTGGGTGTG